ACAAAACATGATTTAGTAGTACATTTTTGAGAGATTCGCAGGAAAACGTAGCCGGCTCGTTTGTTAATGCCAAGGATTCTAGTTTATTGTAAGGCACACTCTTTCCATCTTTTCATCGAAAAGTTCAGAATACGAATGTGCGAAAACCTGTATGCCACGTATATTTTGTTCGTTTTTGACTCTCCTGCACGCTTACTTTGTTTTCTGAGATGCACACATCTAGTGGAAAGCAAATGAGTAGACATTTTGGGTTAATACTCCTGGAACTATTAGTAAAAACTGATTGTGTATAATGTGGTGATTATGGTAGTATCTAACTTGGTGAATGTCCGTCCTAAAGCGCACAGTGTTGTAGACGTGTAAAACCCAACCTTCCAGCAATGATCATTGGCCTTAAATTCATGAATCACGGTCACTCCAAGATCCTCGTGAAACCGATCTACGGGTACAGGCACTCCCCTATTCAGTAGCTGTTCGACTTTGAATCTTTAAAGTGCATGACGACACGATTTGCGGCATCAATGGGCATCAGACATTATTTAAACAAGTTAAACGCATGCCTCTGCACCTTTCATCATTTCTCGTCAGATTTTCACACATCATAAGAGTATAATAATATTGTGGACTCAACAATACTTGAGAGATAATTTACATGCAGCATAAAAAGTAAAGAATCTAGTGCAGAGCCTTGAAGTACTCAACCAAGTACTGGTCTACAGATGGAGCACTTGCAATTTACTCTGACTTTCTGTTTATGACCTATGAAAGACATTTTAAGGGTTTATACGGAGGGTCCAGCCATGACATGATATTGTAGCTTCAATAGCTATCCATCTGTTGGCATCTTGTTAGCAATATAAGTCTATTTGCTGACATCTTGTCAAGCAATTCGCTTAAGTCTATGTAGATAACATTCACTAATTTTCCATTGTTTGAAGCTTTCATCCATTGCTTTCTTGCAACAAGGAGGTTTGTCTTTCAAGCTCAATACATTCAAGAGTATTCATAATTGAAAAACATCATATGTCCATTCAATTTGTAAATTACGTTCTCATAATAGAAAGATATCTTCTCATTCGGATATATCAGATAAGTTATAATGCGGATATATTATATGGATATTCAAATCGATCAAATAACTCCGACTACAGTGTTTGTTTGTTGTAGATAAGAGACGAATAGATTTGCATCTGTAGTCTCAACGACTTCTTAATGTGAAAGGACAATATATAGGAATGACTATGTGATGAATGGAAGTGTAGATGAATATGATGTGCACAGGAATCGCTTTGTGACGAACATATAACACGATTCATTTTCTTTGAAGCAATGGATTATCATCAAGTTTCTCAACAGGCGAAGTGAGATTGTAACTGAATGTATCTATGGTGATCAATTTTCGACTTTTCAGATCTAATCATTAACAGTTCATGTCAACTGATCTTCAAGTCGAATTAAATGTATTCAAATGGTGAGTGGATTCACATATAGTTCAATCTTCATTCTTCGAAAAAGTTAGAACTTCTAACTTTATCAGTTTCTAAGGAGATTCGAATCTCACAAACAAGAAGTGATCACAATCCGTGAATATGTAAGTGTGCTGGTTTCATATGTGTTGACTTACGTGTACCATTATCTTCTCCTTCTTGAGATCATTTGACAGTGAATAATCCTTCTAAATTATTGAAAATACGAAAATAGATAATGGAATATCTGTAAAATGAAATGAATTTATGTAGACTTGATGTTCTAGGTATTCAAGTTCAAGTAAAACTTTGTGTACTTGCGGACTGTTCATGGTCGTTCAATATTCAGCTCTTTCAGAAAGTGCCTAAATTCGGAGATCACAATCATACGAATATGATTACAGAGATACAGTTCAATGAAGTATGGATCAATTAAGTGCTAGTAGAGTATTTAAAGATAACAAATATGATTTGATATATTGTAGGCTTTACAAGTTCAAACTGACTCCACTCAGAACATAGCTCATTGCTGCACATTTGTTCAGTTTTATTCACTTGTCTACAAAGTAGTGTCGTATCAATGAGATATTAATTATACTAAATGGATGTGAGAAAAGGAAACAAAACAAACCACAGCGGAATAATTTAAGAACCCACTTTCATTCAGAACATCAAACTCAAGCATTGAGATGTCTTTTTAATTCATTTGAGAGTCGTTCGTAGTGCATTCTGTTTTCATACCTAAGTATCTGACCTTTAATTTTAATAAAGAAGCATGCAAATTGATTGATGATTTCACATTGAATGGATAAATGATTTCGAATTAGACTGAAGATTTAAAGGAATTCCATGGACTTAATTGAATCAGCTATAAGGCGTCACATTACAGACAATTTGAGGAAAAGGTTCGGCATGTTACGAAAAGCAAGCGACTGATTCACTGAAGAAATTGAATCAACTTTGATTCATGAGATTAATTTGTGATCGAGAAAACTCAATAACAATTTTAGTTTGAAGAAAATTATGGACTTACCATCAGAAGAACCATCAAAGTAACTGACTTGACTTTTGTAATATTTCAACGGGAATTCTAGTGTAATGTACCGAAAAGATGTAAACATATGGATAGTGCCTCCACCACAAAATGTATTTCCATCCAACCGAATCCTTTGAAACTGCCAATCACAACTTGATGAGGTTGATTGAGACTTATTGTTTGTGAGTAATGATAATGATGAGACTGTATATGTCTAATAGAATCTGACTGATTACTTACATATTGATATGACTCATTCTTAATAATCACTTTTGTAAAGTTATTCCAATCCTTTTGTTGACAGATTTCTTCACAGTTACAGAACACGGAAAATACGTTCAAGATCATAGAAATTCTTATCAACAGATCATATGGAGAATTGAGTCTGAAATGGTTCAAGTGAATAAAAGAACGTTAACTCATGGAATCGAAGTTCAATTTCTACGATACACTCATTTACCTCGCGTGTTCGGCTCACACTCACCTCTTTATCTCACTCAAAGTAGTTTACATAAATAGAAATTCTGTAAGGCGATTTCATCATCATTTAATATGGAAATTGTAACGTCTTAACGCAGTCACATCCATTCTGTTTGATCACCATGGTATACCACTGGCTGTTAAAAGGTATTCAGAATAAAAAAGATAATAAATTTAGTATCCATCATGTAGAAGTTGAACTGACTGTGTCCAGTTATGTAGATTGAGTTCGTCAAAGATTGTACGAATAGAGAGACAATTTATTCTGTTAAAAGTGAGTTTTTGAAGATTGAGAACGACTTCTTGAACCAGACACAGATTTATAGTTACAACTGTGATTATTGTATCTGATTACTAATAAATCTGTTTACACGCAAGGGAAGGACTGATTTCCATTTTAGCATTTCAACGAATTATTTCCACATATCATTTGAGCTTGCAAATAGATGTTCTCTTGTTACAGTAGAGATGGATTGTTCTTCTTTAGAAGGGTTTTGACAGTAATCAAAATGTTATTTTCTTGAGCATCACAGTGTCATAGAACAAGGAACTGTTGTGTAAATTCATGAATGAATCAACATCAAAATTAGTTTTAGTGATACATTGTACAGTCTATGCTGTTGGTCAGTACCTAATTATGAGAAGAAATCTAGTCTGCTAAGGATAAGTAGGATTTTGACCAGAACTTATTTGGTAGGCTCTCTTTATACTTTCTTGTTGTTAAAAATGGATATGTTGAAAGTACTCAGTTTGGCTGTACAATTTGATAGTTCTTGCATGTAAGCTATTATTCTTTACTGTTCTACATTTTCCGTTCACTGGCTTGTAAAGTGTGCTGAAGGCAGTAAGCAAGATGTTTGGTTAATATTTTGAGGTCATTAAAAATATGATTGTATATAGACATCAATTATCTTCCTGAGACCTGTTAGATGTTATCTCATCGGATACTCGACATATCCTTCATTCATATCTTTCTTCGTGTATATCTCCTGGTAGGTAGTGACGTCAGTACATTCCGATACATGTATGCAAGCAAACGAACAAAAGCTTCACAATGGTTTTGATGTGTGAACGAGTTTGACAGGTATTAGATAAGTTATTATTTCCTCTGTCCTTAGTATTACATGTAACTTATTGTTCATCGTTGTTGGATTGTGTCGGCTTTTTGATAAGAAAATATATTTACGTTCCAGTCAGGCTAATTACGCGTTATTGATGTGAATTGTATTGAAGTTCTGTAGAATAGACAATGAGAGGAAGTCTAGCTTAGTGTGAGGAAATGTGCCATGATATTAACATCCTCAGCATCTTCCTTCGTCATAGCCCAGATTTCGAACCTTTCATAGTAATCCTCAAAAGCTTCAGAAGTTGAATGAATATCTAACTTTTCCATAGCAACGCCAGTATAATGTTTCGAATTATTTGAATTATAGTATGAACTAAGAATTCGAGAATTAAAGCACTTGAATAAAAAATTACGACACAAACACAAACGAATGTTTTAATTGAGAATGTTGTACAAACTCCTGATTTTCTCCAAAAGACAACACATTCAATTCCAAGTAGTTCATCTACTCGAATTATACATGTAAGATCCTCTTTGAATGTTTTGTGTGTGTGTGAAAATCTCTCCATGTATACATTTGCACTTCGTTCCTATTGACCCCCTTAGTTGTAGATTGTTAGTCTTTTAATCACATTTGAATTGTTAATATTTTCTTTTTTTTTATTATAGTTTTTTATTTTTCCTACGCCTTTACTAAGTTTTTGTGTTTCTTTCCGAACTGCATCTGTGTTGTTTTACTTGATACGTGTTCTTGGCAGCAGCCATATTGATTTGCTCTTTCTTTTGTGCGTACTCTGTTCAGTCAGGATAGAACAGCGTTCATTTGTTGTGACTGGTAATTTTTCCCGTATCTTTTATCAACTTCTTTATTTATTGTAATTTAGATTTGATTGATTGAAAGATTATTGGTTGAATAGCCGGGTGGTTTAGGTAACGATGTACATTTAAATTAATGATGAATTATAGAACCGCTATTTACCCGATTACTTGTTTTGATTTTGACGGGCAAGGGCGCGTGTGTAACGTACCTAGAGGGCTATTCTTCATTCCAAACCTTAGTTTGGATTCTACAATATATTCTTTTCAACTTTTTCCTTTTTTTTGTAAAAGCATACACACTTTCCGTTGTGTAACTTACATAGCATGACATACTGTTGATTGCTAACAAAAACATTGCTACACACATATCCTTCGTTCTACAATCATTTGTGATTGAGTTAACTGAAGCCTTAATCGAATATTATCTACATTTATAGACTGTGATTGGGAATATATCATACGTTACATTGAATTACACGACTGGAGGATTCATCAACTTGATTGGGATCATCAAACATTTATAATTGTGGATTTTCAGCACCAGACCGAATCCGAACACGCATCACTTTGGTGAATTCAAGTAAAGTCCCTATTTTCTATTGTGTTTGTAACAATTAACTTATACATAATAACATTACTATTGTTCTTTAATAACTTTGTTGATACTTTTTATGTTTAAACATCGTCTGGTCCACCAAAATTCTCTTTGGTAAAAACAGTACGGTTTTCATCACCGCTGATTTCTAATTTATTCAAGATGCCTTCCAATGACTTCATAATTGTCTTTGTAAAAAGAAATAGTCAAAACACTTTGACATTAGTTTAGTGATTGAAGGTAATTGAATGACAATCATTAAGTTATTTATGGTTGAATTGTGTTTATCCAGTTATATATTTCAATTTGTACAGGGAATCACTTATGAGTATCGTATGTTCGAATCCCAATAGGAATTCCAGTTCGTTCGAGATATATTTTGCCGATGATTATCAATTAATACAAAATCGCAATCTAGAGAGTCATACCGACTACGTCAATGAAGAGGTAATTTTGATCTTTTGATACAGTAACAAAAATAGTTGGAATAGATACCAATACTTCAGAAGTAGACAATATTTTACAAACTGTTGAGGATGATCAACACTTTTTAAGACGAATGGGAACTATGTTAGTTAATATGCCTATATCAACTGTTACATGCACATTGCCATGTAGTTTAAGTGATACAACGACATCGATTGTCCCAACAATAAGTAATCAAACAAGAGAAAATTCAGTTAGTTACAATAACATTTTAACTATCACATTTCATTGTATTTCACTTAGAATCATGAAGCTTGATTTAATAACCAGAAGAGTGTGTTTATTAGGCTAATTAAATAGCTATTATTCCTAAATAATCGTTCTATTCTTATTTTGACTGAAATCCTCAACCGATCAACGTTAGACCATCATTCAAACCCGGGAAGCATTCGGTATTGAGTGTGAACACTTGAACTCCAAACCACTCAACTGGTATAACAGGATAAAACTCGTCGATCTCCTTAACATTGTACTGACAATTATCGAGTGTTCACTATTAACTAGATCCAAGAAGGGATATTCAGAGTTCTAGTGAGAAGCCGTGACTAATGGAATACAAGCCTATCAGATGTGAGACAGTTACTCACTGAAGTCAATGAAAGATGGTCACGTAATATTGTGGATTAATTAAAGTTAGACACTAACATCGTTGGATGTCAGCTCATTGGTTCAGACATTAAGCACTTGAAGGCGAAAAAGTACTGAGTTCGATATTGTCGATGCGCGCGTCTGGGGAGCGTGATTCTCGGACAAAACGGCCATTTAGTACTTTTGGGTTTTAAACGGTTTAGTATTGATTTGTTCATGATTTCAGTATCACCCGGAGATTTCAACATGCATTAACTCATAAATATTCCTTTTTTAGCTATTAACTGAACGTCTCTCATTCAATCTGCCTAATCAACCCAAAACTGATTCAACATCTAACAAAGAAGCTTTCTCAATGATTTGATTTCACGAAAATGTGTAAACCGGAGCAAACTCAACTAAACCAATTCAATCGACAATGGGAATGACGTCGAGTAAAATTAATCCACTGAACACTTCATCAGCACAAGATAGTGATGTAAATTATTTTCATTTCTCAAAATAGTCAAATGTTCTACAGAATCATTCTCATAAGTAGCTTCGACGTTCTGGTGAAACTTGTCCCGAGTGTTTTATTTCTCCAGACCAAGTCATAGAACATTGTTGAACAATTTTGGAGAAAGGGATAACTATGAGAATTTTATGTATTGTAACTGGGGTTAGAAAGGTTATGGTTTCTAATTTTTGTTTCTATTATCAACTAGAAGTCAGAATTAGTGACTAAATTGTAAAATATCACCTGCACATTTCCAGAAACTGTGATTTTTTCACATAACCATTTACATTGACCTTAATCACAAAATCGTACAGAATTCATTTAATTTATAGTAATCTCATTATTGTTTTACCCATAAAATCTGTGCTTTTATCATTTCAACCAATTGACTGTTATGTTTTGAATTCTGTAATTCATATTTGCAATAGAGACAAGGCATGTACATAGTTTACATAAGTAACAATAAAATTTATGCTACCACTTATATTTGAACATCCCTAACGGTTTTCGTATTGATGAATGAAGAAGATATTAAAATTCATTGTTTGATTCAATGGAATACATTTGCGTAGAGGTTGATCGCTTCGATACAATTCACATTTCACATGGAGATAATCAAATCAAATAAGCTGAGTTGGACGAAGTGTTGAAGTGACACGCACACAGTGAGAATGTGGGGAGTGTGACCTGGTGGTTGTGGTGGTGATGTTGTTGTTGTTGATATTGTAAATGTTGATTATGATGATTGGCTGTGAAATTGTGATGGTGGTGATTATGATGATGTATATTACTCGTGAGATTCGATCTGGTGCCCAAATCCAACGCCTCACACCACTTGACCACCCGAAAAATGATTTACAATGCACAACACTAATTCATCAATATCAACATTACATTTCACACTCTTCCAAATACACTGTGCTGTTCATGACAAAACTAAACACTACATGCCTCACAATATATACAGTACACATTGAATACTACACACAACACATTACACAATACACAGCTTCGAACAAAATGTCATGCACGGCAGCGAGAGCATGGGGCAGAAGGATTTGTTTGGGTCTGTTGACTTGAACTAGGTGTTGCTGTGGCAGATGTATGTGGGTTGGGTGGTTGTTGGACTACACGAACTTCAGTATGATCTGAACCATCACGATGAACCATGGTAGAGTACTGCTGTAAATTCATCAGACGTTGATATTTGTTTGCAATATCAGTTAGTGTCAATTTATGGTCTTGGTCTAATCCAGTTAGCAAGCGTGTTCTAATGTCACTGAACGTCTGCGATTTGAGGCTGCAGATGGGAATAAGTTCTTTAAATTGATCTTCAGTAAGCGATTCCAACCGGAGGCGCTCGCATTTGAGATTGATGCTACTCACATGTGTGAGAAAATCAGCGTCTTCGTTCATAGTCAGCTTCAAACATCGACAACGTGCGTTGAATAGTGATGAGTTATCTTCAAACTGTTGGCTCAATGACTGGACGGCGTCCGAGAATGGGTGGTTGCAATATCTATCTAATTCGCTAGAACACAGTTTTGGAAGCAGCAAGCAGACTTGCCAAGAGTCACTATGATTACCCAAATCAAATTTGAATAAGTCTTCATAAAGTAAAAACCACATATCAAATGTAACATTGGAATAAGGAGCATAATGAAACTCCGATATACTATTCACAGTGCCATCAACTGACGGTGCAGTGGTAGTAGCATACCGAGCTCCCAATTTTGGGGAAAATCTGACCCATTTTGAAGAAGCCACTTTAGTAAACGTTTTGCGGTTTTGGTGTCATTTACCCTAAATTTCCCCAGACCTAGGGGAATTCCCCAAAATTTACCCGAAATTCTCCAAAATTTCCACAAAATTCGGAGGTTGGGATTAGAAATGCTTGGTTGCATGTTAGGCGTAGGCTTTGCATCTGCTAACATTTGCATTAGTATTAGCTGCTGCTCGAGCAATAATTCTACTTTTGAAGGATTTTTGTTTGCGCCAACTCCGTTAAGTTCAAGAGCGTGGATCGCGATCCAAAGAAAGGATGAGCTAAAAGCACTCTAGAAGTTTGATTAAGAACCGGTTTTCATTACCATTCTAGTTTGTGATAAACATTGACAGTAAAACAATTATTTCTTGTCAATCTTATTTTCAGCTGGCTTCAGCTGCAAGTTCTAACAGACGTAACTTAATGTTTTTTGTTCGCAGTATTAACGACATTGTAACACTGTTGGTACCTCATCGACGTTTCACATAGCATGACATTTGCTTGTAAACTAAAGAATATTTTTCTATTTTTGTAGAACATTGTGAATGATCGTTCAATGTCTACGTAACGTGCTGACGTTACAAATCAATGAAGAAACGATATATTAATGAATGATTTGTAATTTTATAAACCATAATAAACATTTCAATGTGTCACAATTCAGTCTTTGAATTACAGCGATAGATCGATTAACGTTAAGTATCTTTGGCACTGCATTCATTGCGTAAATGACTAAAAATAATGAAATATCGCAGTAAAAGCTGTAGGTGTTTATTCTCATCTGGCTTTTCCGTGATATATGTAGAAATTTGTTGAGAAGTATCGTGTTAAAACGAATTTGCAAAAACTATAATAATAAGTTTATGGTGAAATTTATGGGAAAATATGAAATTCAGGAGAAAGTTTGAGAACACAAACAGTTGGAGAAAATTTGCGATTGTTTCCGAAATTTCCTCTGACTATGGTAATCGTTCCTCAGAATTTTCATACATGGGTCAAATTTTCTACGAAATTGGAGATTGTTGAGTTCACTTTGACTGCGAATGGAACAAAGACTCAGTGACCAAAAACCGATATGCTAGGTATTTGATACATGTCAGACCCGCTAACAAGAGGAAGAAATGCAATATTGGAATGATGAAGTATATTCTGCAAACTGCCAGAAACCAGCGATAACAACAAACACAAATGACACGGTTAAAACGTCAGAGCCGTTCGAAGCAGACAGCCCTTTCGTTTGAACGAACTTGAACGGCCCGACACGAGGCGGTCATTCCGTATTTCAACTACCGTGGGTTTGTTGCGTTGCATGAGTATCAAGTTTTTAAATATTTAAGTCATTTTTTGCTGCATTAAAAGCGCAAAATAACTGCCAAAAGCACTAATTTAGCG